CGTCCGCCGCAACTTTCCGGTCGCTGCTCGCTGCAGAAAATAGTTTTATTTTCCGCAAACAAGCCTCGGCTAAAGCAACAACTCCAGCCAGCGCCCGCCCGCTGGCCGCCCGCCGCCGTCCCGGTGGGTGTTCCCCTTACCTGTCTAGACGGCCGGGCCCGCAGAGCATAAAGGAAGGGGGGAAACCCCTCCAGTCTGTCACTTCACCACCTGAAAAGAGAGCAAATCTCATGAATGTTGCGAGACAGGCGCGCGGCCACAGGCAGCCAACACCAGGGAACATCAGCGCCAGACGAGCCCCTGCCGAGCGCCAGGCGCCCGAGGAGGTTGAGGTCGAGAACCTTTGCTAATGTCGTAACGGAGGTCCTCGTCCGACGGGCGTAATTATTTATGCAATTTCTAATATCATTTTTCCAGGATAATTTCTCTGAAACTAATTCGTTAACTCTGTTGCGCAACTGTGGTGGCATTTCCTCTCGCATTAGGCGAGCCTCTTAAAGATTTTCAATTTTAAAATTGATCAATAACATTTATCGTTAGCTTGCAGTCACTGTTCAACTCCAAGCAGAATAAGCAAGGTTTCCTAACTGTAAAATAGGGCTTCTTGGATGGAAATCAGTAAAAGGTGTATTGGCAACCATGGCAAAGCATTCGAATTGGCTGTCCCGAAACTACGTCCGTTTCTTTCTCAGACTTATTCTCCAAGTTACGGGAGCTCGGCGCCCTCGGCGCCTGCAAGCCTTCGGGTAGGCCAGCCCGCCGTACACGAATGCACTGCAGGCAAGATGTTGCCTACCTGGAAGGCACCATGAGAGCTTGCACAGGCCGAACTTGGCAATTTCATGACGGCGAATTACAGACGTACTTTCTGGATGATCTTTATACATATTTTTAGTTTGATGACTTTCACCTTTGCTGCGTGTTAAATTTTAGCTTTTAATTAATTTTGGAATAATGAATGGGCGCTTACTGGGCTGTTTTAGTCTCAGCTCATCAATACCTCACCAAGCCACCTCATCTCTTAACCGCCACCATCAACGATATACTTTCCCTGTGTTTAGTACGCGAAAGCCCTAAATTTGTGTTTCAAACACGTCGTACTTCCAAACACACTCTGTTTCAAAAACAGACCCCTTTCTAAGCCCTTTCTCCCGTGCCCTTCGTCTCGAGGCTAGGCTCGAGGCTAGGCTCGAGGCTCATTGATGGTTTTGCAAGTCAAGTCCAAAGGGCCGTGGTGCAGGCGTGGCGCGGCGTCGAGCGAGGATGTTTATAACGTCGCCGCAGGAAGCAAGTCTTTCAAGCCGCGGACGGGACGGACGGCGCTGGTCTTTTCACCCGGCAAAACAGCATCATTAATCAATCATGTTCCTATCAATCTCGACGTCCCCTGCCCGCCCCACCCCGACCCCGTCTGCCCAACCCGCGCACCACTGCGTCACACTGGCCTGCCCCTGCCCTAGCGCCCCAAACTGTTTTCTTTTCTTTTTTTACATTTTCTTTTCTTTCTCTTTTTTGGACTGACATCGCTGCTGAACAAGGCTGAAGCTGAGCGGGGAAGGAGCCGTCGTATAGCCATAAGCGTGTAGCTGGGCAGTAGTTTTTGCGTAGCCGTACATGGGATTAGGCCTCCCCTGCGCTGAGCTGGACTGGGCTGCGCCAGTTGGCTGTGGATTCCCCTCCCCGTCCTGCCGAGCTGCGCTCGTACCATCCCCTCCTGTTCTCTCGGTCTCCGTCCCTTTCCCGGTCCCACCCACCCTCTCCATCCCCCCTCCCTTTTTCTCTCTCTCACACGCGCTCACACAGCGGACCGTCCCGCATCCCCTGTCCTTCTCCCACTTGCCAGACAAAATCGATTCCGACGCGGAAGGAATGGGAGGTTTAGCACAAGTCAGCTACGCCAACTTCTCTCTCTCCCCCCCTCCCCTCTCTCTCTCTCTGTCTCTCTCTCTTTCTCCTCGACTCCTTCTCCGTGCTCCCTTCTCCATATTCGTAGCGGTCCGGGTGGAGCCGGGTGGAGTCGCTCCAGCAGCACTCCCCTAAAATAATGTTTCCTTTTGACTCGCCTCCGGCTCCAGCTCCGTCTCCAGGCCGCTGCGCCGGCCGACCGGGGCCAGCAGGCCAAGAGAGTCAAACCTTTCTTAGTCTCGTTTAGACGGATTTACCCTGCCCTTTCCGAAATTCGATAAGCTTATTAATCAAGAAGAGTCCCTGACTAAAACTTGAGGAGCTGTGGGCATCCTTGCTTCACTTGGATAATTAAATGCAGTGCCGATGTTTGAAACGAGATGTTCGGTTCGGAAGATGGAGATGGTGCCGTTTTCTACCTTGCTACTTTTGTGTGTTTAGTACGCGATGACATGAGCAGGATGAAGGAAGAGGGGCGGGGGAACGAAAAAGGCTCTTGAAGAGAATCCTTTTTTTGGAAAGAGATTTCTCCCCTCACGCGCGTTCACACGCAGCCCCCGTTTGCCACCCCATTCGTCTTTCATTCCATCCCTTACCCGCTCCCCTCCCCCGCCGCACCCCTTCCGGTCTCCTACGCCCATTTAGCTGCGCAGCGCAGGCGTTGGGCTCCGGGCTCTGGGTGTTCGGCCTCGACACAGAGAGAGAGAGAGAGAGAGAGAGTCATACAGCAGTGGCGCGAAGAAATAAAACAGCGAGCGTTTTGGGCAAACAAGCGCGCTGACGAATGTCTCGCGTAAATTAGCGAAACCCTTTACCCCTAACTCGACCTGGCCTCGTCGCGAAAGAGAAAACACGACAACCGCTAAATAAGGATAGATAGAGCAAGCAGAAAAGGGGGCTGGAACTAGTAGAAAAAGAAGAGAGAGAGAGAGAGGTGTGGTACTCGCCGTACCGTGGTGTGCCCAGGCCGAGCTTTCGGCACGTTATGTTCCTGCAGGAAGCCGTAGCAGCAGGTGGAACGGTGTGCAGACGCCCCAAAGGCTCAAGGCCCCTTGCGCAGGCAGCCTGCTAGCGACTAGCGGCCAAAAGTCAATGAGCTTCGCGCTTCAACCAACAGGAGCGCCGCGGGCTTGGCTCGGCCGTCGGCCGTGGCGCTGCTCGGGGCCCGGGGGATTAGTCTTCAGCCACCGGCAGCCATTCGCGTTAATAATGGAGGAGTACTTTTCCTTTTCGGCGGCGCGCCGTGCGGTAACATGGCGCGGCCGCGGGCGGGCCTCCCCTCAGGGCAGCATCACGGCGGAGAGGGAGTGCTCTCAGCAGCACTACAGAAAAACAAATAATGTCACACTGGTTCTTTGTCATACTGAATTCGACAATTTTTCTTTAAAGAAAGAGGTTTTTGCCTCAAGAAAAGATACTTTAATACACGGTAAATACAATGTTCTATTTTTTAAGGAAAAAAAGGAAAACTTTGAGGAACTCCCATGTTTGAGGGCGTGTCCTCGGATCTCGCCTCAGATTTTGAGGAATCTTCTCAAAAATAGAGGAAAAGTCCCGCATTTTTTGAGGAAACTTCCTCGAAATCTGAGGAGTTTTTTGTCAAACTAGAGGAGAGTTCCTCAAAGTTTTCCCTTTTTCAAAAGAATGAGACATCGTTTTTACCGTGATAATCGGATGTTGTCAATACCTCAGTGCTTGCTACCTTACCTAGCCTGGAATTTTATTTTATTTTGCAGAATTTTGAATGGATTATGAGGTTTGTGTGTTAAATTAAACTAGATGAACCGGAGCGTTCTCTCATTTTTAGATTCATAAATGAATCAGTTCATGATCAGCTAGCAAATTAATTAAAGTTGCGTAGCAGTTTGCTTTGTATTTTGTTTTCGGCGCGACAAAATACACTATACTTCAACGTGTTTCGTTGTTTACATTGTTTTGCAGGTTTGGAGGAGCCGTAACATTTTGAAGCTGCGGCCTCTGCCGGTTTCGTCGTGCTGATTTCGCGCCCCGCCTACAGAGAGGTAATAATGGCATGGCCTCGTTCGATCCCTTTTGCCACGCTGGCGTTGGCGCTCGTGACGGCCGCTCTCCCGTAGTAGGCCTCGATGTGGCCTCGATTCGCTCGTCGGAGACAATTAGTGCTTAATTTCTTGAAGCGCATTATGTGGTGCGCTACGCCATCGACTCGTGGTAGGGAAGAGGAATGGGAAGGGTGAAAATAATGGACGGGGGAGGGGGGGGAGGTAACTCGTAACTCTATGTGATGTGGGTTAAACGAGGTAAGGGGCAGGGAGTAGGGAGAGGTGCTGGTAGTTGGGGGGAAAATTACCGACCACAGTCTGCTCGCTCGGCGCTCGGGGTCTCACTAGCGCATAGGGTACCCGCGCGGAGTGCTACACACCAGGCTCGACTGCAGGCTGCTGCAATTTATCGGCGCAATGCTGGAAAAGTCATTTTTTTGTGTGTGTGGTTATCCGAAGCTTATTGAACGGGAAAATTCCCTATGAGAAATTTGGTAATGTTACAAATTTAAATTGTTTTACTGACACGGAGTTTCGACTTCGTCTACTCTGAAAGGCAACAAAGGCTGTCGCACAAAATCGGGACACAAAAATATATATTTAAAAAATATAAATCTACAGGGTGGGTGATCCGCGCCGTTCTTTGTAAATGCTTATACTGTACCGGATACACGCGTGCGGGCGCGGGCGGGCTTGCCTACCGTCGCTCGCCAGGGCGCCTTACGGCGCCGTGCGAGTATGCAACCCGTCCGCACGTAAGAATCGTAAGAAGCATTTTAATAAGACGGCGCCGGACGGCGCGGATCACCCACCCTGTACAACAAAAAAATTACTTTTTACCAGTGCCGTTTACTGCGCCGTGTTGCGGACTTTCGATCAGCAGCTGACTGTAATCCCGCGTGCTGTCGCGCGGGCATTTGTGCGGCGTGTAGTGTTACAGGGGGCGTGTTCCAGCCCAGCGGGGGCGCGGTGTGGCGTCGCGTGGCGTGGCTGCCAATAACGGCCGCGCTATCTATCTGCCAGTGGCGGCGGAGCCAGGCGGGGCCTAGGCGAGGCGGCATGGCATGGTGATCTGATCTGTCCTGCTCTCTCCCGCTTCACAATGACGCCTCTTGTTTGACCCAACCAACGCGCCCCGTCCCGCGCCCTTTAATTCACGCTGATGTCGCCATGGCGACGACGAGGGTGTACTCTGCACTCTAAATGGAAAGGGACAAGTTTGCGTGCTCCGAAAAAAGGGAACGTTTCCGTGTAGATCCAGATCAGATGCAATTTGTTCCGAAATTTAATTTGGACACATTTTGTAAAACGGTTTCTTCAGGTCTGGATGTGCACGAAAACGTTGCCTTTTATATTGTCCATTTTCTTTCAGAGTGTGTTTAGTAAATACACACACTAAAAGCTTATGAACAAATTTATTCATAGCCTACTGAGCCCTGTGTACAAATAAATTTGTTCATACTATAGCGTATTAAAAAATGCGTGAGCGGACTACGTTAGACATAACTCTTATGTTCATAAGCTTTTAGTGTGCACATTTTATACTTGCCCTTTCCCTCCTTCCGCGGGCGACTACGACATAGTAGAACGCTGAATTTCTGCGAGTTGTCGTTGTTTGTCTTGTCGGTGGTCGCGGAGCAAGGCGACACGCTCGCTCGGGCCGGGTGGGGGGTATGGGGGAGCGCGGAATCGCCGAAGGGATGCGATACGAGTGGAGTGTTGCGGTGGGTCCGGGTGCACGCCACACCACCGCACCCCGCCTTATCTGCCCGGCAATAAATTAAATAGTAGTAGTGGCCGGGGAAGAGTGGAAAAAGAAACCAGAGCGGGCGGGGAGAAGCAGAGATAGAGGGAGCGTCCGCAACCCGGGTGCTGGACTGAAAGTTGATGGCGTGACGGTGAGGGCGATCGGGACTCGATATGGTCACGCAAAATCATCGCCCTCGTTTGCTTGCCTTGGGGAAGCAGACATGTCTTTTGTCGCTCAACTCCAGGCTGCTGCTGCCGCTGGAGTAAGCTAGGACGTTGATAGGGCTGATAAGCGCCCCTCTCGCCTTGGTGCTTGTGGCAGCGGCGCTGCAGCGTCCACATCGTGTTAGCCTCATCACGCGTGAAGGCTGCCCCGCCGCCCCTCCCCGCTCCCCTCGCACTCGCTTTGAGCCCTTTGCTCCGGCCGGCGCCGGCCGGCCCGGCCAGAGCTCGGCCCTTTGAGCGGCGAGTTGCTCCGGGGTGTTGAAGGGCGGAGTCGCGTCTTTGTCATCCGGGGGGCCGGGCAGGGCTGGGCAGCGCCGGGCAGGGCGGGCTTTATCAGGCCCCGGATCCAACCGAACTTTGTGCGTGAAGAAGGCAAAGGGTGTAAAACATAGCTTTTTGCCTATACTTTCAGGTGGATTATTGTAGCGCCTGCTGTTTTTTTTTTTCGATTTTGCTCGGCCTAGCAGCCCCCTATTCGTGTGGGCGTGACAGTACAGAGGCGAGAGCATCGAATCCCTGCGGGGTCAGCCGGGCGTGGTAGGCAACCAACCACACAGCGCGCGTGGGCTCTGCTGGAGCGCTTCGGATCGGAACGGGCGGGGGTGAGGACGAGATGGGGCGAAGTTGGGATGTGGAAAAAAGGGGGTAGAAAATGGGGGAAAGGTGGGGTATGGTGCGTGGAGGATGCGAGCCAGCGGGGGGGCATTCCACCCGGCCCGGCACGGGGGCGGCGGCGGCCGTGTGTGGGGGACGCCGGGGGACGGGCCGCCTGCTGCTGGCTTTTGTGCCGGCACAATGGGCTATGGGCGGCGGCGCCCCGAGTGGACACTGTCCGTGAGCAAACATTGACAGCAATGCCCGGAGAACAATTGGCCACTCTGCCTGGGCGCGCTTGTTCGGCTCTGGTCTGGTGCGTGGGAGGGAGGAGGAGAAAGAGCGCGAGTGCGTGCGAATCGTTTTTCTTTTTCCATATTTCGCTCTCGGTCGGTACATAATGCCGGCACACTTGTGGGCACGGCCCGCCCTCCCGACAAATTTCGTACAGAGAGTCTTCATATTACCAGGAATTTGTGATGTACCAAAGGATCCTGGAACCACTACCATATATTGCGGACGAATTTTCTGCGAATTACAAACACCACCTCCTCTCCTCTCTGCAGACTTTGCTTGGTTTCCGCGAAGACGCGCGCCGTCGCGGCCCACGCCACGCGCGTCGTCCACGATCAGGACCCCTCAGGCTCCTGCGCTGTCGCCTGCCTCTCGCTCTGAAAAGGTCAGACGTTGTTGTTGATGTTTGTCGCTGTCACAGCTCTGTCGCGTCGCGCCGCTCCGCCCCTGTTCTCTTGTTTACTGCGCAGTTGTTTCAGGAGACGTTCAATAAACGTCCCGTTTATTTGGAATTGTTTCTGCTTTGTGATGGTCATTGAACTATGGATCACTGTACAACATTATATACCGGGTGTAACTGTGAACGCAGTACAATTACACCCGGTACGTATACAAATGTTTTTCATCCAGGTAATAATTACACAAATGCAAGATGCAAGAGTAGTCGGACAGTACTACTTTTTCAAAAGTATTATGGAAAGGACCATCACCGGTCGCCGGGAGAAGGGGAATTAGATCCGTTCGCAGCTGTGCACCTGTGCAGGTGTCAACACGTGACGAACCTTGTTCAGCAGAGAAGCTCGGAGCTTCGAGAAGCACTTGCCATTAGTGCGGACGTGTCTAAGATGGATGCACGTCGCAGGAGGACGTGCGGAGGGCGAGTCAAGGACAGGACAGGGGGAGCAGGCTGCCACCGCCAAAGTGATTCGATTAGAAGGCAGTGGTTGACAGAAGGCGTCGCGCAGGGGGGGCAAGACAAGGCTGAGGGGGCTGCAGAAGTCGTCGTCGTCAACGTTGTCACCATCGTCACCCATGCCCTCTCATGCCCTTTAGTAATACACGGTAAAAATGTTATCTTGTAATTCAAGAAGATGGCTTGAAATTCAAGGGAAAATCACTTGGTATTCAAGCAATTGGCTTGAATTACAAGACCGTTTATACGACCCTCTACTGTGCTCGACCCTGGAAAATTTGTTGGAAATGAAAGGAAAACAAACCTAAAAACACCTAGACACTATTTGTGATCTATCTTGTACATCACAAAAGCGAACAACATTAATAAACAGAAACAGACGCGGGAAACAAGAGAAAGGAGGGTAGATCGAGTTGGCAACGAACAGTGAGCGCGCGGAGCCGTACATCAAACCAGCTGACAAACGCAAATCATGCAAAAGCGTGTCCGGCCCAAGAGAGGGGGATGCGATGGGGGGTCCTCGGAACAAATGGCCCTACAGGACAGCCAGCCGTGGTGTCCCGGCGGCCGGCCCCCGCGCCTCTCGCGTGACTTATGGCCGGCGGTGGGGCCGCAGCTACCGCGGCAGCTACAGCGGCAGCTGGAGGAGAACCAATAACCGACTGGAGAGACTGCTGGCCGAGTATCGCTCTGCTGGAGAACTGGATATCCTGGCTGGAGAGGCGAGGACAACAGCCGCGCGTTAGTCGGCTATCAAGGGCATGGGAAGAGTAGTAGTATCCTTTTTCACGAGGACGTCGATGTGCCTTGTTGTTGCTGGAGAGACTTGCCGAGCCGCTCTGGAGAACTGGATCCTGGAGAGGCGGGGACAACCAGAGCGCGCGCTAGGCGAGAAAGAGAGAGGGGAGGGGGTCTTCTCTACGCTACTCCTCATCGAGCTCGTCGATGTACCGAGGCGATAGCAACGCTGAGGCAATAGCATGCTTTGGCTGCCGCTCCAGATGAAAATGAAGACCGAGGAGGAGGAAGGAGGGCGTCGACGACGACGCGGGCGAAGACGTCGACGACGAGGAGGCTGAGGGAGGAGGGAGGAGGCACGCCCCAGCGCGGAGCGAGGACACAAGATGGAATTACCCCCCGTCCGCCCCCCGCCCGGGCACCGCCCCCTATCTCGCGCCGTTTTATCTAGCATGTCGTCCTTGGCTGCTTGGCGGGGCCCAGGGCTGC